TGAAAATGTTTATTCAGCAAATATTTTTTGAGCATTTACTGCATGCCAATCACTGTTCTAAGTTGTTGAGATGCATTAGTAAATAAAACAAAGATTCATACCCTCATGGGGCTTAGATGCTAGTGGGGGAAGACAGAAAATAATAAACATAATAAATAATAGATTACATATTATGTTAGAAGTGATGAGTATTGATAATAAGGGGAAAAAAAAGTGAAGAGCTGAGTAAGAAGGTGATGGGATGGAAAGTAAGTTAGAGTAGTATGTAGGGCTCTCAGGGAAGTAGGCTTCAGTAAGAACTCAGGTGAAAATTGAGCCAAGAGTTTTGAAGGCTGTTAAGGAGTTAGCCAAGGTGATATTTGGGGAAGAGGAGCATTATAGGCAGAGTGCACGCACAGATTAGGATAAGGCCTTAAGGCAGAAAAATGAATATCTTTTGTGTTTGACAAACAATAGAGTCCAGTGTGGCTGCATCAAAGTGACCAAGAGAGAGAGGAGATCAGAAAGATACTGGGGAAGGGTGGTGGGTCATCATCCTTCTAGGTCTTTATGTGGATTTTTACTTTTACTCTTTTTATTAATCAGTCCCTAACTGATTTTTATTGGGGAATTGGGGGATGGGAACAGTGCTGGAGAATTGGGGGAAGGGGAACAGACAAGTTGCTGTCCTTTGGTTCTTCAGCCTAGTTGTGGAGGACGTTGCTTCACTGGCCCAAGTTGGTATCATCATTGCGCTCTTCCCGGGTGAGGCACATCAGGCACATCAGTTGCCGGCTTCTGGACGGTCGCTCACGCTGGCTGCTGGCTATACACGGTAGCCCATCACAACCCACTGCAGCAGGGGCTGCATCCTACGCCATCGCCGTGGCCGTCGCCGGCGACTGATGGCAGCCCAGCTCCAGGTTGAGCAGTTGTTCAGCATCTTAGCTGTAGAGGGCAGTGTCACAGGCCCTTATATGTGGGATCCAAACCGGGGCCCTCTGGTGTCCCAAGCCAGCTCTTAACCAGCGTGCCACTCGGCCGTCTCTAACTGGTTTTTAAAAGAATCGCTCTGTTATGTTGATAATAGACTATAGAGGAAGATAGAAGCAGGAATGGGATACCAGTTAAGAGATGGTTGAGAGGCAAGGGATGGACCATAATGGCCTAGATTGCAATACCAGAAATCAAGAGGATGTTTCATAACTCATTTAGCAGCAAAACTTGACCTAAGTTGAACTCTTCTGGTGATAAAATTGAATTGAGACTTCTTAGAGTTTATATCACATTTACTGTGGCTATCATACATTTTGCTACAGAAAATTTAATGTATTTTGTTGCCCTAATCTTTGGGGGTGTGATACGCATATAATATATAATATGTACATACTAATACTTTAATATCCTCTTCCCGCCCATAAAATTCCGATTTTTAAAATATGACGAACTTCAAGGTTTTTGTTTAAGAGATTGTAAGAATATGTCTGGGGGAGACAGTGAAAAATGGTTATATTCTGGATATATTTTGAGCGTAAGAGACATTAAAAATCCTGATGGATGGGATGTGGGCTATGTGAAAAACAGAGGAGTCCAGACGTTCAGGGTTTTGGTGTGAACAACCAGAGAACATAATTACCATCATCTGAAATGGGAAAGACTGTGGATGTGTTGTCGGAAAGTGGGCCCTTTTCGGTGCGAAATCCAGGTCCTTGGCAACTCGAGCAAGGAATTGAACTAGATGCCAGAGTAAAACACTGAAAAAGTAGTTTATTCGAAAAGATAATACATTTCAGAGTAGAAGTAGACCCGAGCAGTAGAGAATAGCTCAAGGGCCCATTATTAGAAAAGAAATGACATTCCAAAGAGTCTGGAGTAAGCCACGCACAAGGGCGAGGCTCAAAAGCCTCGAAAAGGAATAAGCGGTCAAGAGAGTAGGTCATCCAAAAAGGGATAAAAGGAAAAAGGCTCAAACTTTCCAGGACTTGGGGTTTTTATCCCTTTTCTAGAATGGGCTGCTCCCCTAAGGGCGTGGGACCACTTGATTGGCACCTGTGACTGACAGGATGTACTGCGCAGGTGCGAGTGACTGGTCTGATCTAGTTGTACCCATTTGTTTTAGGGGTAGGTAGTTACAATGAAAAGAAGTTTTGGGTGGAGAGGGGAGGTCAC